GGGGAAAAGAAAAAAAAATGCTTCGTCGCGTTATCTTATCTTATTCTCCGCCAGCAGTGACATATTCATACATTTCGCCGAGAAAAGTGCCGTTTCAAGTTCCGCGTTTCATGAAAAACGAAGGTCGCGCGCGGTTCGATTGAACATTGGAACTGGTCAAAATGGCGAATTTCTCAATTTCCTGTGATAACTTATGTATTCGTAACAGTGAGTTTTTGAAACACACATGTGTTTATTTCAATTTATAGTTTTATAGTTTTAATTTATTTTATATATAGTTTAATTTATAGTTTATATATAGTATTATATATATAGTTTAGGTTATAGTACTATAGTTTAGTTTATAGTTTATATATAGTACTATACAGTATTACAGTAGTATACTTTATAGCACTATAGTTTACTTTATAGTTTATATATAGTACTATACGGTATTATAGTAGTATACTTTATAGCACTATAATTTACTTTATACTTTATAGTTTATATATATAGTACATACAGTATTATAGTAGTATACTACTATATATGTATATACAGTAATACATACAGTAATATAGCATTATACTTTATAGCACTATAGTTTAGTTTATAATTTATATATATATATATAGTACTTATATTTATATATAGTACTATAGTAGTAGATTTTATAGTATAGACTTTATAGCACTATAATTTATTTTATACTTTATAGTTTATATATATAGTACTATACAGTATTATAGCATTATACTTTATAGCACTATAGTTTAGTTTATAGTTCATATATAGTACTATAGTAGTATACTTTGTAGCACTATAATTTACTTTATACTTTATAGTTTATATATAGTACTATACAGTATTATAGTAGTATACTTTATAGCACTATAGTTTATATATAGTTAGTTTATAGTTCATATATAGTACTATAGTAGTATACTTTATAGCACTATAATTTACTTTATACTTTATAGTTTACACATATATAGTACTATACAGTATTATAGTAGTATACTTTGTAGCACTATAGTTTAGTTTATAGTTTATATATAGTAGTATACAGTATTATAGTAGTATACTTTATAGCACTAGTTTAGTTTATAGTTTATATATAGTACTATAGTAGTATACTTTATAGTACTTTAGTTTAGTTTACAGTTTATATACAATACTACAATAGTATACTTTATAGTACTATAGTGTAGTTTATAGTTTTATAGTACCATGCATATAGTTTAGTTTACAATTTTACAGTACTATAGTACTATATACATAATTTAGTTTACAGTTTAGTTATAAGTATAGTACTATAGTACTATATATATAATTTAGTTTATAGTTTAGTTATAGGTATAGTACTATAGTACTATATATATATATAATTTAGTTTATAATTTATAGT